GAGTATAAGCAGTAATCGGGAAGATTAGGGTTTGGAGATGTTAGTTCAAGATTATAATCCAGTGAAATAAATTTGGGAAGAGGAAAAAAGGGACAAGGGTACCATTAAAATTGAATTCAGATAACTAATAACCCAAACAATCAGATAGGCAACAATACAATCCACAGAACCTTTGCAGTCAATCAAATGTATGATTTCAGGGTTAATCAAAGTATAAAGGCAGACAACAAAATTAGGATGATTTATTTAATCGTCATTATCTAGTATCATATACACTATATACAAATACAGACTTGTCTCGCAAATCCATCACATGTTAGTAAACTAAAAACTTAGGGCGAAGCTTTGATTTATATGTACAAGTAAAAGGGAAACGACTCTAAATGTAGATCAGGAAAAAGAAATGACATGATAAAGAGAAAATTCAGTCTGTAAAAGCTTTAGTGTACTAAACCTCAAAGATGATCAATATAACATGATCGAAGCGATTTTCAGAACGCTTGTATCTCAAAAATAAAATCCAGATATAACAGAAAGATGCTGTCCAATGACCGTAATGCTACTTGTTAAATAGTATATCAAGATCCTCTAGCTATACCTAGAAAGTTCCAAACTACACTGGACAGCCCGTTTTGATGTAGATATTACAACTCATTTCTTACGTATTTATAGAGCTGTGTCCATTAAATAGTTGTTTACTCGCTTTCAGGCTGGTATGGAGTACCAGAAGGAATCGCATTTTCGTTCCCTGTTATGCGCGGCTCCTACGGATATTGGTGGATTGTGGAAGATATGCCTCTTACGCCAGAAGTTGAAACTCAGTTGAAAACATCCATTCGAGTAAGTATTAGCGTTATCACAGGAATAATTTTCCCTTTAACCTTCCAAATTAGCAATGAAACATCGGATGTGAATACACTTTATCAGCACATATTCAGGATTATTCTTCCTCAGTTTACCATTAAAATTACATGTAAGATCGGAAACATTTGACCTATTTCCCATTAGAATTTAGTTAATTTTCAAATTTAGATCTGAGGAATGCAAAACTACATTTAAGCTTTAATTTATTTTAAACTTCCTGATAATGAATATGTGATCACTTCTGAATAAAGAAATCTCGGTGAAAATGAATTTAATTAAATGCGAAATTTACCATGCGATTTATTTCACAACAATTAGGAAAAGGTACTTAATTCACTTGATATTGTTTTACTTGAATTTTCCCATTGATGTTTTTGGACTGAAATTGATCAGTCTCTTATTGGCATATGTGCATACTGTGCGTATGCCTCGATATTGCCTAAATTTACAAGCATTATAAGCAAAGATGGATAGTGGCTAGCAGTGGAATCCAGGACGCGCGTTTCGTCCTGTTTGGGACTCGTGGATAACGCGATGGCGTTTGAAACGAACGGTACTGAGTTCGAGTCCCAGAGTGAACATCAACTCTGAGATGCAGGTACATCCAGCTGACGAGTCCCAAACAGGACGAAACGCGCGTCCTGGATTCCACTGCTAGCCACTATCCATCTTTGCTTATAAAGGTACTTAATGTTTAATTCGAAATGTAAATCTTCTCTTTAATTTGTCGTAAATTCAAATAAATTGTATTCAGTCCGAGTTAAGGTCCACAAGTAGACAAAATGAAATAAAATGTACAAAATGACCATCTGATAAATATTTTTCTACCCAGCCTACTTTGTATATTTACAAACCTTCACTATGGTTTATCCGCTTTCGATAATTTAATTAACCAAGTAATTTGTACGAGATATTACCGAAATTCAACTTTTTATAAAAGTGAAGTTTGGCTACAACAGATAAGGGAGCAAAGATTTGGGAGTTTTAGATTTCATTTTATACCATCTGCAATAAGCTACATTAGAACTAACAAGGATCCTACAGTCTAATAGAATGAACCAAACAGAAATAGTCGTGTTAAAAATATATAATTACCTAGGAAGTTCATTTTCTAATTCCAAGTTTAGTAGAAAAAGGTAAAGTACCAGCTTTGTATTCATCTGAATTAAAAATAGATTATTTTGATGTACAGTGTTGATTAGTTTAGTATTCCATCATTCATCCCTTATTGTATTTCTCTAAGTTATTCTCAGTCAGTCAGCTACAACGTAGGACCACGCACATATATGCATCGGTCCAAGTTGCCATACCTCATTAACACAACAAGATGGACACCAGATTCATAAAAGTAGTTAATTCAGAAGTGGTAATATATAAAAGAAAGATTGCAATAAGGATATAGTACAGGAAGAAAGAATTAGTTCGTAGAAAGAAAGATGTGAAGCGATTTTAATCTCTTAGTTTAAGGGAAGACAGAGAGTGTATACACCGACGCCACTGTGATCGATTCTGAGCCATGTCACCAAGAGTCTCCAACCATTGGTTACGATACTCACGCGGACCCCAACCAAGTAGTCTGCATCTACTAACATGGCTGAGACTACAAGTTAATGACTTCAAGCACTGATGCCACGTTTTGGTTTGGCCGCCCCTAACTTTCTTCCAACCATCTCTAACACCGGTTAGCATTGCACGTCATGGTAATCGGTGCTCAGGCATACGTAACACGTGGCCCAACCATCTCAGTCGATGAAGATTCATAACCTCATCAACTGATTTATCATCATTCCGAAATACCCTGCGTCTAACCTCACTATTACTTACCCAGTAATCTCATCAGACGCCAGCAACACTTCCAAGGCATCTGCGGTCAAATACTAGTAGCTTACGAGTATCTTCTACTCTTAATCGCCATGTTTCGCTGCCGTAAATTAAAACATAACGGACTGCCGCGCAGTATACTCGTCCTTTTATTGATAGACGGATATCTCGCCTTCGCCATAGGTGACGTAAGTTGGTAAATGCTAAACGAGCTTTTCGAATCCGTGCTGAGACTTCGTCAGACACCAACTCATTAGAGCTGATCAGACTTCCAAGATAAGTGAAGTTGTCAACGCGTTCGACTACTTCACTCCCTATCCTTAGTTCAGGTGTTGACGCAGACCAGTCCTGAAGCAACAACTTGCATTTAGAGGGAGAGAAGCGCATTCCATACATTCTGGCATTGTTGCTTAGTGCTACCAAAAGACTCTGCATTTTATCAGTCTTCACCAAACAGGACTATGTCATCTGCGTACTCTAGGTCAATGAGTGGACCTCCTGGAAGGAGATCAATACCCGTCCAGTGAGGCGCAAGCAGATGCGTGCCCGTATTAGGGCATGGTCGGAGTCCAAGCAGGTACTCCAGAATGAGCGACAATCTTCTACCAACCCTCTCCAAAGATGACTGATGGCAATATGGTCTATTTGAGTCCATCGTTGGTTTGGTATAGGGGGTCGCCGTGTTAGACGATGTCTCTCCTTATGCTTAAAATTTGTGTTTGCTAAAAATAAACGATTGTCTGAGCACAGTTGCAGCAGACGATCACCATTATCTGTTCGGTGTGCCGGAATACTAAAATACCCACCTAAATGCCTTTCCGTTTGGTTTAAACTACCTATCTGGGCATTAAAGTCACCTGCTACGAGTACTATGTCTGAACGTTTAGCTTTCTGAAGAAGCTCAGATAGCTTTCTGTAAAATTCATCTTTCATTTCATCTGAGCTGCAGTAGGTTGAAGCGTAGGCAGAAACGACGAAAAGGCAACGACGTGTGTCCCAATCCTTTCGAGTTCTTACGGAGCCGTTTATCCGAACAGCACATAAACGACTGTTAACGGGGATCCACTCTAACAGTGCTTGTTCCGCCCTCATGCTTAGTGCTATCCCTACGCCTGCCAGTCCACGAGAGCTGGCCGTCGGGTCACCAGATACACGGAGGGTGTATCTCGTTGGCTCTCTGTTTTGCCGAGGTGAGGTCAAGTGGATGACCACACTGGGACCCTGTATGGGTGTTTCAGAGACACAGCATACATCAATGGTACAAAATTCTAGGGTCCCAGCCAAGGAAGCCTGTTGACCGATTTGACATAGGGTGCGTACGTTGAAGGCTCCAATGTGTAGTTTGGAGCGATATTTCAGTAGACCTGAGACAGTGTTTTGCGCACTAGAATCGTTGGCTGTGGCAACACCTGAGGGAGAAGTTGGAAGAGGAAGTGTCGAGTTGGAAGTCGAGGTAGGAGGAATAATAGAAATTGAAGAGGAAGATTGATTATGAATACAGTGACCTTGAGAGCTGCTAAAGGTATGAGGGCGGTTATCACTTCCCGGTTGCCCACATCGTGGAAGGGTTGTTCTGGAGGTACCTGAAAACGAAATTGGATTAGAGGTGATCTTAGTGACCTGGGAGCGTGACCGCAGTGCCCAAGGGACAACTGCTTGAGGTCGGTCACACACGACCTTTTTATGGGTAATTTTTGTGTTAGCTCCGTACTTGTTGAGACCTTACCGCCGGAGACGGATATCCGTGGGATAAGGCGAGGTGTGCATTTTTAGGGCCGACCTTTTCCAGTCCCACCCCTCCTTGTGGGAAGGCAGCATCGCTGTCATGCTGGTTGTCTGAAGGAAACACCTTACTGCTGTCACACCTCCGTACAGTCAGCAGTACGACTTCGCCTTCGGACATTGGGTTTGTTGCTCTTAGTCTTATCGCTCTTCAACCGACCTGTCTGACATGGTAGGACCTTAAGGAACGGTTGTTCCAGCCAGTATAACTCGGTAGCTTCATCACGATAGGCAAGCCCGACCACCACGTCAAGGTAGCAACAATGGTCGGGTCTAAGTTATTCTAGAATCATTCATCAGTCAACTATTTTTCCTAGTGGTGACCTTTCTCAGAAGGTTGAACAACAATGTCACGTTTCGTGCTGTCTTAAGATTTTCGGTTAAATTTTGAGTTAGTCGTTTGTCGCTACCAGTAAAATGAAATCTTATTTTAATATACAAAAATTATTGTTTTACTTTAGAGTGTCCTCGAAGATTGGGCAGTTGTTGATCCCTTACCATTGGAAGAGTTTTTAAAGAAAGGTAACTTTGTTCCACTGTAAATATTGTATTAAATTTTATAGAACAAAAACCCAAATATAGTTATAATGAATATCAGGCACAAAATAATGAAGAGAATTAAAAAGCAACTGGATAAAGACAACAGAACATTGAATTTTTCGAAATAATTAGAACAAAGAAATATTCGCCATACACAAAAAAAAGATTAGCTTGGTAAACAAAAAATAAGAACTGTTATAGAGACAATAAACTACAATAAATAGAACATGTTTAAAAGAGGCTTAATAACCTTGTTATAAAAAGTTGACTTTATATTTCAAACAAATGTATTCATGAAAAAGTAATTAAATAATAATAGAAAAAAGCACTTGTTTAAACAAATTATGTGATCTTGATTTGTATTTGTTAAAAACATATATTATTAGAACATTTTGCACGGAGAAAAAAGCTAATCGATTAGCATATTTAAGCCTAAAGAAAGTATTACTAGTTGGTTCTAGGTGCCAAACAAGATTAAGCTTCATTGAACTTTGCGACTGATTTTTTTTGATTTATCAGCAATTGGTCTTGGTTTATTATCAGCTGCTATGTGTCGTTGGTATAAGCTAGTTAAGATAAATACATATACATAAATGTAATTGATTTGATGTTGATAATAGTTATATTTAACTGATAATTTTATCAAAGAATTAATGAAATACGAATCTTACCTGTAAGCTATAACACATATACAGTTTAAATTTCTTTAAGATTGACTGTATACGTCTCTCACAAGTAGTGACAGACATTGTCTATTGAACTGAGCAGTTTTTGTAGGTGAAGACTATCTTATTAGAGTCTGTGCGATTATCATAACGAATCGTCGAAGACAATGGGTATTATCCCTTAGAATTGGTCGCAATGGCCTAGATGCACTTGGCCTCCTTTCCTCTAGATTGCGTGTTCAAAAATTATCTTATATTTTTATATGGCGAAATTAATTTTCTCGAACCATATTATCTATATTTTTTAATACCACCAATTCTGTCAACACTTTACTACTGTGAAATTTGTCCTGAGAATTTTATCTATTAATGTTGATGGGGTGTGATAACGGGAGCCAATGTACACATGTGCCAGATTCCAACTTGCTTACGATTGATTGACTAGACTAGTGTCGCCTTTCTGTTTGGTATTATACATACTGAAGACACCGAAGTGAAATACAACTACGTCATACAGAAACAGCAAATATCTCATGAAAATGAAATTCTAATGTTTAAAGAAACTTAAACTGTTTTTAGACAGAATGATTTTATTAAGAGTTAAGAAATATCATGTCGATAATGAAGACTCTAATGTACATTACTAACACCTGTTACTCCTCATGAAGCATAGGTCGCCAATCAGGATTCTACAACCAACTCTGTCTTAGGCTCTCCTTTCTAGCTGTTTTCAAGTGTTATTCAATCTTTTGATGTCCGCCTCCTATTCACAGTGCACTGCGATCTTTGATCTATCTCCTTATCTTTTCCCTTTACGATTTCAAGTTAGCGTTCATCTCGTGATGCAGCTTGATTACTTGCACAATGTCCTACCCACCTACAGCGTCTTTTTCTAACTTCTTCTTGAGCTGGAAGTTGGTTCGTTCTCTCCCACAATAGGTTTTTGATGTTATCCGGCAGAAGGATATTGAGTATCTTGCGTAGACAACTGTTTATAAATACCTGTCCCTTTTTGATGATGATTGTAGTTGTTCTCCACGTTTCAGCTGGGTACAATAGAACCGTCTTGAAGTTTGCATTGAAATTTATAACTCTGATATTTACTAAGAGTTGTTTTGATTTACATGTCTTGCAATTAAAGGAATCCCGTCCTTGCTTTACCAAACCTTCCATTTACATCTGCACCACATCCTCCTTGCTTATCGATGATGCTACCCAGGCACATAAAAATTTCTACCTGTTCCAGTCAGTCAGTCAACCAGTCACAAAGTAGAACGCAGTACGTATGTAAATCGGTTCAAGTTACCAAACCCAATTAACACAAGGAGATGAAAATGTCAGGCCGAATCCCAGAACAGTAGAGCAAGTGACAGTATCATTGATAAAAGGAAAGATTAGGTATCGAAAATAAGATTCAAGAAAATTCAAAGTGGAGAAATAAAACAAAAGCCGGGAAATTCAGAATTTCGGGGAGGACAAAGAATAGATGCAGTTGAGTCGTTGCAAACGATTTTGAGACTTGTCAAAGTCTATAACTATTGGTCCCAGCGTTGGACCAAATAGATCACATTGCTATCAGCCACCGATGGAGGGGCTCGATGGAAGACTATCGCTCATTCTGGAGCAAATGCTTAGATTCATATCATGCTCTAGTGCGAGCGCGTATTTGTCTACGTCTTACTGGACGTAGGAAAGACTCTGTAAGGAAACGTCTTAGGGTTCTACTTAATGACAGCCAAGCTAAGAACATATTTCAGGAACAACTAGAAAAACAGTCAGGTAGCCATGTAAGTGATGCCCACCGCGAGGCAGCATGGAATGATATCCGAAAAGCTGTGGAAACAACAGTGATATCTGCTAGTACGGTAAACCGTAAGGTTAAGGAGCAACACTGGATCTCAGCAGCATATACCGCACTGATAGATGCTCGACAACTCGTCCCATCTGGATCTGAACATAACGAAGAGCGGAGTCAGCTTAAGCGCAAGCTGACAAGAAGTCTACGCAATGATCGTGAACAGTGGTGGGTGGCAAAAGCAAGAGAGATGGAAAAGGCAGCGGCAATAGGTAATAGCAGACAATTGTTCAGACTCGTTAGGGAAAACGGTACTAGGAATCCGACTTAGCGAAACAATCTCAGAGAAAGATGGACATATTATTCATTCTCAATCCAGGAGATTGGATCGATGGGCAGAACACTTTAGGGATCAGTTCAATTAGCCTTCAGCCACATTTCGGTTTCCCACAATCTCCAGCCGACGTGAATGGCAAAATTGATGTAAGTCCTCCAACTCTTTACGAAGTTGGAAAAGCTATAAGAAATCTGAAACGACGGAGAGCAGCAGGCCCTGACAGGTTTACCCCTGAGATGGTCCAGTATTAGCAGTAAGATTGACTGAGGTCTTAGGTAGAATCTGGGAACTGGATGTAATCCCATCTGACTGGTCTCAATCATTGATTGTGCCAGTCTATAAGGACAAAAGTCCTCTTGTGACGATCACAGAGGAATCAGTTTGACTAATATAGTTTCTAAAATATTAGCTTCAATAATACTTCGACGCCTAATCAAAGCTCGTGAAGAGCAGATTAGAGAAAACCCGGCCGGTTTTCGACCTGGACGTGGCTGTATAGACCAGATATTCACACACAGTCAGTCAGTAACAACGTAGAACTTCGTACGTACGTACATCAGTTCGAGTTGCCACACCACATTAACACAGAGATGCAACTGTCGATTCAAATCCCGTAGTGGCAGATGTAATAAGAGCATAAGCAGTAATCGGGAAGATTGAGGTTTGGAGATGTTATTTAAAGAGTATGATCCGGTGAAATAAATTTGGAAAGAGGAAAAAAGGGACATGAAGGATTCAGAAGATTAGAATTTGGGAGAACACAAAGAGTGGATGCACCTGCACCATTGCAAATGATTTTGAGCCATGTAATTCAGGGTCTCTAACCATCGGTTGCTATCATTTCGCGGATCCCAATCAGGTAGTCTACACCTACCAACATGGCTCAGTGACTTCATGGACTTGTGCCATGTTTTCGTCTGGCCGCCCCTAGATTTCTTTCAACCTACTCCTATACCATTGAACATAGCACGTCGGGGCAGTCGGTCGTTGGGCATACGTAACACGTGTCCCAGCCATCTCAACTGATGAAGTTTCACTACTTCATCAATTGATTTGCCATCCTTACCTAGTACCCGTTTCCTAACAACTGCGTTACTTACTCGATGGTCCCAGGATGCACAAGCAATGTTTCGAAGACACCTATGATCGAATACTAGTAACCTACGAATATTCTCTACTCTTACCGAGCATGTCATTGCTAATAATAATAATAATAATAATAATAATAATAATAATAATAATAATAATAATAATAATAATAATAATAATAATAGTTAATAATAATAATAATAATAATAATAATAATAATAATAATAATAATAATAATAATAATAATAATAATAATAATAATAATAATAATGGTCCACCATTCACACTACGTCAGGTCCTAGAACATAGAAACACATTTAGACGCCCCACAATCGTAGTATTTCTCGACCTTAAGGCGGCATTCGACTCTGTTGATCGTGAGGTTATATGGCAGTGTTTGTCACTGAAAGGAGTACCAAAGAAGTACATTAACCTTATACAGGCTCTCTACTCGAACACAACTGGTAGAGTAAGTGCTTGTAACGAACTGTCATCAGAAATGATTACCTCAAGTGGTGTTCGTCAGGGCTGTCCACTCTCTCCATTCTTGTTCAACTTTGTGGTCGACGTACTTTTAGAGATAACACTCCTCATCTAAATTTCCAGGGGTTGAACTTCTACCGGGAGGTTCACCTGTTGACTTAGAATATGCAGATGACATAGTTTTATTTGGTGAAGACGCTGACAAAATGCAGAGTCTTCTGACCACTCTAAGCAACAATGCAAGCATGCTCGGGATGCGATTCTCTCCCTCGAAATGCAAAATGTTGCTTCAGGATTGGTTTACATCGACACCCGAGCTAATGATAGGGAGTGAAGTAATTGAGTGTTCCGACCGCTTCACTTATCTTGGAAGTCTCATCAGCTCCTGTGGTCTGGTGTGTGACGAAATCTCAGCACGGATACAGAAGGCTCGACTAGCTTTTACCAACTTGCGTCATTTATGGCGTAGGCGAGATATCCGTCTATCAACCAAAGGACGTGTTTACTGCGTAGCAGTTCGTTCCGTTCTATTTTATGGCAGTGAAACATGCTCGGTAAGAGTAGAGAATATTCGTAGGTTACTAGTATTCGATCATAGGTGTTTACTCCATGGTCTCAAAGTACACGAGCAACGCCACGTAGACACCTGTGGTCGAATACCAGTGACCTACGATTATCCTTTATTCTAAATGGTTTTCAAATTAATAAAGTAAAACGGAACGAAATGCTGTGTAGTAGACTCCCCACTTTGGTCGGCAGACGTATTTCTTTCCCAAGCCACAAGTGAAGCAAGTTGACAAAAGCTAATAGCGCCTTCTGAACCGGTTCAGAGATTTCATCAGACAACAGACCATCACTACTGATGAGACTCCCAAAATAAGTGGAGTGGTTGATGCGTTCGACTACTTCATTCTCTATCATTAATTCAGGTGATAACGTAAACAAATCGTGAATTAATATTTTACACTAGGAGGGAGTGAACCAAATCCCGAACATCCTTGCATTATTGCTTAAGGTGGTCAGAGGAATCTGCATTTTGTCAGCTTCTTCACCAAACAGAACTATTTCATCTGCGTACTCCAAGTCAATGAGTGTATCTCCTAGGAGATCAATTCCTGAAAAGTCAAACGGTGAGTGTTATCTCTAAAACTATATCTGTGACAAAGTTAAATAAAGATGGGAAAAGCGAACAACCTTGACAAACACCACTTGAAGTAACCGGTGCCGACGACAGTTCACCATAAACTCCGACTCCACCAGAGAGCCTGTACAAGACTAATGTACTTCTCAGATAAACTCTTCAGTGACAGACAATGACACAGAACCTCATAACTAACAGAGTCGGACGTCATCTTAAGGTAAAGGAATCCACCCATAGTTGGACGTTGAAAAGTATGTCTATTTTCCAGAACCTGCCAGAAGATGAATATTTGGTCTATACATCCACGTCTAGGTCAGAAACCAGACTAGTTTTCTCGGACAGGCTCTTCATGAGCTCTAGTTAGGTGCCGAAATATTGCTGTGGCTAAGCACGTAAAAGTTTCACCTCTTTCAGGGTTTCTACATTAAGTGTGTTTGGGTTGGTGTTCTCCGTGCTGTGTTTTGGTATCTTGCTTTTCCCTTGTGTATATTGAGGCCTACTGCTGTAGATGCTACTGCTACATTGGTTGTCTTGACCCGTCGGTCAGCTACAATATAGGACCAGGCACATATATATATTGGTCCAAGTTGCCATACCTCATTAGCACAACAAGATGAACACTAAATTCATAGAAGTAGCTACATTAATCGTAATAATATATAGAAAAAAGATTGCATATAAGGATATAATACAAGGGGAAAGAATTAGTTCAATGTTCCATTCAGGCTGTTTGGGAATGGTGGGTAGTTGTAGAGTAACTGAAAACCAGCTGAACCGCTCCTTAGTGTTCCGCCCATCGTTCTAAAGGTCTAGACTGAGAGAAGAGACATAAGATTAGTACGTTGAGGGCTCCAATGTGTAGTTTGGAGCGATATTTCAGTAGACCTGAGACAGTGTTTTGCGCACTAGAATCGTTGGCTGTGGCAACACCTGAGGGAGAAGTTGGAAGAGGAAGTGTCGAGTTGGAAGTCGAGGTAGGAGGAATAATAGAAATTGAAGAGGAAGATTGATTATGAATACAGTGACCTTGAGAGCTGCTAAAGGTATGAGGGCGGTTATCACTTCCCGGTTGCCCACATCGTGGAAGGGTTGTTCTGGAGGTACCTGAAAACGAAATTGGATTAGAGGTGATCTTAGTGACCTGGGAGCGTGACCGCAGTGCCCAAGGGACAACTGCTTGAGGTCGGTCACACACGACCTTTTTATGGGTAATTTTTGTGTTAGCTCCGTACTTGTTGAGACCTTACCGCCGGAGACGGATATCCGTGGGATAAGGCGAGGTGTGCATTTTTAGGGCCGACCTTTTCCAGTCCCACCCCTCCTTGTGGGAAGGCAGCATCGCTGTCATGCTGGTTGTCTGAAGGAAACACCTTACTGCTGTCACACCTCCGTACAGTCAGCAGTACGACTTCGCCTTCGGACATTGGGTTTGTTGCTCTTAGTCTTATCGCTCTTCAACCGACCTGTCTGACATGGTAGGACCTTAAGGAACGGTTGTTCCAGCCAGTATAACTCGGTAGCTTCATCACGATAGGCAAGCCCGACCACCACGTCAAGGTAGCAACAACTGATGCATTGAAATCTAGCGACAAAACACGTAGATATAACCGTTGAACAATTGTATTATTTGGATACTAGATGGTTGAAGGTAACTGGTAGAGAATGAGATTATGGAGTATGTTTTGGTAAACAAAAGTGGCTGAGTACTAGAAATCCTAAAAATAGTAGATATGTAATTAATGACAAACTATACGTTACTCAAATATATACGAATATTAGTCAATATTAGAACGAATAGTTTGATAAAAATTGGGTGCCGAGTATAGAGAAGTAATCATATGTGAAAATTATATTTGAAATAATCTCAGCAATTGAAATTTAAATAATCCCGTTTCTTCCAGACAAGCTCGCTCGACGAAACGTTAGGACTATTGCAATTTCAATTTCTGAGATTATTTCAAATATAATTTTCACATATGATTACTTAAATCTGTGTATATTTGTGCATAGATGAGCCCCCAGAAAAAATAAAAAAGTTAGGATTGTTCTTGTTTTTCTTTTAAAGCCATTTTTAGTATAATTGTACAATAAGTTAGCGTGACTTGGCAAAATAATTTTACTGAAAGAAAATTCTTACGAACACAATAAACACAAAAATGATGGACAGTTCACAGTATAAATATATCTTAATATTTTGAAACTTACAATTTGTATGTCTCTGACCGAATATAATCAAAGACGTGAGAGAGACCAACTTGTAATTGATCCTCTATTGGTGAAACCCAATCATTGCCTGATAGTTTAGCTACCTGTTTAGGCCCACAGAGATCAAGTATACCTTGGAAATAGAAAACAGTAAATCACTTTGCATCAATAAATAAACAATAACAAAAGCACTAGAGTCGAAAAACAATATACGTATGTGGTATTTTACTTACATAATGACACACCTTAGATAATGAGCACAGGACGAACTATTCGTAACTTACCATGTTTACAAACTTGGTTTTCAGCTACACTATTTGTGTGAGGATAGTAACACTAAATGGCTGCTCAAGCCAGAGGTAGAAAAGTGTTTGAAACTGGGACTTATGTAATCAATGTCTAGTGCTGTAACCATTAGGATTGTTTTAGGAATAAAAATAAGTAGGGTCGTGCTGCTTTGACGGCTGTAAATATTTTTGTTATAATCTCTTTCTTACGGTTATGACCCAGCTATTCCTATTGCTTAGTATTCTTGGACACCGATTCACTCGAAAAGTCCCCAAATCAGAACACGGTTGAACAGGAAAGAGATTATATTCCAAATAACAAGGTTAGATGGAAGTAAGGAGCACAATAGGAAAAACATCAGTATATTTATAGTTTTTACATGAGAAGATTCTAGAGTATTCTCCAACTATCGACTAGTGCTGATTGGATAATAATTAGCCGATCAGCGTGCACCAAAGCAATCGTGCATTGAACATGCTTTAATCTTGTCTATGTCCCGCTAACAATTTTTTGTGTCAGTCTGAGTGTTTTAGGATTTTGAATGATTTAATCAACTTTCCAACGTAAAAATTCCATTCTAAAATATAGTCACATTTATGTTACCAGAGTGAGCTCGAATTCTGACTACACTTCATCTTTACTATCGCTTTCAGCAGATGAGTTTACTTAATTTGCTGTTACTGCCTTCAGCGGTTAACCTTTAGTCACGTATGGTGATTTCAATTTATGAGATGGTAGCTTATATACCATGGTAACCAAAATGTAGGTTATTCCCCTACTCGTCCTGTTGTGCCTCTGTATCTCGTTTTCATCAATGATGCGGTAACATAAGAAACGAGCAAACGAGCTTTTTTTTCAATTATGATCACTTTTTAATTTGTTCTCAAATTATATGACAAGCTTGGAAACTGTATCCTTTTTTATTAGATGAAAGTGAGATGTAGGCACTAATGGGTATTAACATCCAAGATATGGAAAACATACTTCGAAGGACGCATTTATTTGAAAATGAGTTGATAGAAGACTAAACCAATGCTATAGCTTTTCACCCTAAATTTTGCTTTGATGGTCATTGCTGCAGTGAAAAAAGCCTTCCTAAGATTTAACCCCCTTATCTCCCCACAACTTGGAAGGTTGAGAGAAAAACGACGACTAAAAGAAGAATTCCATTGTAGTATGAGCAGATAAACAATATAACATTTACTCTTGATTAACTGAAAAAGGACAAGCAAACTTGAAATTCCGAAATCAATAAGCCAAACAAAAGCGTACATATGCATGAGTGAAAACTTTTTAGTTGGTATAGAAAATGAAGTCCTATCCAAATAATAAAAGACTTTACCTATTACTTAAGTAACTTCGATTTAATGAATCAAACGGCATACTATTTATATACGATAAGCAATTTGAGACCTAGTCAGTCAGTAACAACATAGAACTTCGCACGTACGTACATCAGTTTAAGTTGCTATACCACAGAACAGAGATGCGGTGGTCGATTCAAATCCTATAGTTGTGGACGTAGTACAAGTATAAGCAGTAATCGGAAACATTAGGGTTTGAAGATGTTATTCAAGGAGTATAATCAAGTGAAATAAATTTGGAAAGGGAAGAAAGGTACATAAAGAATTCAGAAGATTAGAATTTGGGAGAACACAAAGAGTGGATGCACCTGCACCATTGCAAATGATTTTGAGCCATGTAATTCAGGGTCTCTAACCATCGGTTGCTATCATTTCGCGGATCCCAATCAGGTAGTCTACACCTACCAACATGGCTCAGTGACTTCATGGACTTGTGCCATGTTTTCGTCTGGCCGCCCCTAGATTTCTTTCAACCTACTCCTATACCATTGAACATAGCACGTCGGGGCAGTCGGTCGTTGGGCATACGTAACACGTGTCCCAGCCATCTCAACTGATGAAGTTTCACTACTTCATCAATTGATTTGCCATCCTTACCTAGTACCCGTTTCCTAACAACTGCGTTACTTACTCGATGGTCCCAGGATGCACAAGCAATGTTTCGAAGACACCTATGATCGAATACTAGTAACCTACGAATATTCTCTACTCTTACCGAGCATGTTTCACTGCCATAAAATAGAACGGAACGAACTGCTACGCAGTAAACACGTCCTTTGGTTGATAGACGGATATCTCGCCTACGCCATAAATGACGCAAGTTGGTAAAAGCTAGTCGAGCCTTCTGTATCCGTGCTGAGATTTCGTCACACACCAGACCACAGGAGCTGATGAGACTTCCAAGATAAGTGAAGCGGTCGGAACACTCAATTACTTCACTCCCTATCATTAGCTCGGGTGTCGATGTAAACCAATCCTGAAGCAACATTTTGCATTTCGAGGGAGAGAATCGCATCCCGAGCATGCTTGCATTGTTGCTTAGAGTGGTCAGAAGACTCTGCATTTTGTCAGCGTCTTCACCAAATAAAACTATGTCATCTGCATATTCTAAGTCAACAGGTGAACCTCCCGGTAGAAGTTCAACCCCTGGAAATTTAGATGAGGAGTGTTATCTCTAAAAGTACGTCGACCACAAAGTTGAACAAGAATGGAGAGAGTGGACAGCCCTGACGAACACCACTTGAGGTAATCATTTCTGATGACAGTTCGTTACAAGCACTTACTCTACCAGTTGTGTTCGAGTAGAGAGCCTGTATAAGGTTAATGTACTTCTTTGGTACTCCTTTCAGTGACAAACACTGCCATATAACCTCACGATCAACAGAGTCGAATGCCGCCTTAAGGTCGAGAAATACTACGATTGTGGGGCGTCTAAATGTGTGTCTGTGTTCTAGGACCTGACGTAGTGTGAATATCTGATCTATACAACCACGTCCAGGTCGAAAACCGGCCGGGTTTTCTCTAATCTGCTCTTCACGAGCTTTCATTAGGCGTCGAAGTATTATTGAAGCCAATATTTTAGACACTATATTAGTCAAACGGATTCCTCTGTGATCGTCACAAGAGGAGTTTTGTCCTTTCTTATAGACTGGCACAATCAGTGATTGAGACCAGTCAGATGGGATTACGTCCAGTTCCCAAATTCTACCAATGACCTCGGTTAATCTCATTGCTAATAATGGTCCACCATTCACACTACGTCAGGTCCTAGAACATAGAAACACATTTAGACGCCCCACAATCGTAGTATTTCTCGACCTTAAGGCGGCATTCGACTCTGTTGATCGTGAGGTTATATGGCAGTGTTTGTCACTGAAAGGAGTACCAAAGAAGTACATTAACCTTATAAAGGCTCTCTACTCGAACACAACTGGCCGAGTGAGAGCTTATGGCAAACGGTCATCAAAAATGATTACCTCAAGTGGTGTTCGTCAGGGCTGTCCACTCTCTCTATTCTTGTTCAACTCTGTCATTGACGTCGAAGTATTGTTGAAGCTAATATTTTAGAAACTATATTAGTCAAACTGATTCCTCTGTGATCGTCACAAGAGGACTTTTGTCCTTATAGACTGGCACAATCAATGATTGAGACCAGTCAGATGGGATTACATCCAGTTCCCAGATTCTACCTAAGACCTCAGTCAATCTTACTGCTAATACTGGACCATCTCAGGGGTAAACCTGTCAGGGCCTGCTGCTCTCCGTCGTTTCAGATTTCTTATAGCTTTTCCAACTTCGTAAAGAGTTGGAGGACTTACATCAATTTTGCCATTCACGTCGGCTGGAGATTGTGGGAAACCGAAATGTGGCTGAAGGCTAATTGAACTGATCCCTAAAGTGTTCTGCCCATCGATCCAATCTCCTGGATTGAGAATGAATAATATGTCCATCTTTCTCTGAGATTGTTTCGCTAAGTCGGATTCCTAGTACCGTTTTCCCTAACGAGTCTGAACAATTGTCTGCTATTACCTATTGCCGCTGCCTTTTCCATCTCTCTTGCTTTTGCCACCCACCACTGTTCACGATCATTGCGTAGACTTCTTGTCAGCTTGCGCTTAAGCTGACTCCGCTCTTCGTTATGTTCAGATCCAGATGGGACGAGTTGTCGAGCATCTATCAGTGCGGTATATGCTGCTGAGATCCAGTGTTGCTCCTTAACCTTACGGTTTACCGTACTAGCAGATATCACTGCTGTTTCCACAGCTTTTCGGATATCATTCCATGCTGCCTCGCGGTGGGCATCACTTACATGGCTACCTGACTGTTTTTCTAGTTGTTCCTGAAATATGTTCTTAGCTTGGCTGTCATTAAGTAGAACCCTAAGACGTTTCCTTACAGAGTCTTTCCTACGTCCAGTAAGACGTAGACAAATACGCGCTCGCACTAGAGCATGATATGAATCTAAGCATTTGCTCCAGAATGAGCGATAGTCTTCCATCGAGCCCCTCCATCGGTGGCTGATAGCAATGTGATCTAGTTAGGTCTAACGTTGGGACGAATTCGGGGGTCGACATGTTAAAAGATGTTTTTCCTTATGCTTAAAGTCAGTATTTTCTAGAAACAGGCAGTTATCTGAGCATAGCTGTAACAAACGGTCGCCATTATTTGTTCTTTGAACCACGACACTATAAGATCCACCCAAGTGTCCTTCCTTCTCGCCTGGTTTACCTACTTGAGCATTAAAGTCACCAGCCACTACTACTACATTTGAGCGTCTAACTTTTGGAGGAGGTCAGAAAGCTTTCTTTAAAACTCATCTTTTATCTAATCTGAGCCCCCATATGCCCTGGTATGGCCGAGAGCGGGGTGGGTTCGCGCTCCCTCTCGAAATACTCTCACACGGCCGCGCGTATACAGCCTCTGCCAGGGAAGTCCTACTCACTGCCTTCTCGTGACGGGGGTGTTGTCTACGAAAATGAGA